AAATGTGGGTCCTGTTGTCCAGTGGACAAGAGAACAATTCTTTGAAAAATTATACCTAATCAAGAACTCCTAGTGACTGATCTGTTTGCTTCCTTTGTTTATGTGCTTTAGAAAGGTTGATTCCCTGCTAAGATTGTAGTTGGGCGGTCGGTCAACCATGTCTGAATGTGTAACCAAAATAGCAACTTCACTGTATCTAAGCAAAAACTGTTTAACTTGCCAAGTTTCATATGTAATTGCAAAAGCATATAATAAAGAAAACATTTCTCTGTGTCAGAGGAGCCTTGCTCCCCTGTGCCACCAGAAGAACCTCTGGTGCCTGTGTTGTTTGTCTGTTTGCCCGTGTCATTCCCTCCTGCAGGAATCTCCTGGATCTGCTGTGGCCGGACTGTGGCAAGCTGGCACCGGAGTACAGGGACCTGACAGGTAAGCAAATTTTCGAGTGCAACCAGGACGCCACTAGAAGGGTGTTGCGAGCCCGCCCGAGTGGGCAGCATAAGAGGCCTCTTGGCAGGTTAAAGATTTGATTAGTGGGAAGTGTTAAGAACTTTTGAGAAGTCATGGGCCATACTGAGTCTAAAGAAAGAAGACTCTTTATAGAAATAGTTCAATCTATGCTTGAGAAAAGAGCAATTAAAACCTCCAATCATCAGATTGGAAGATTTTTGCACTTTATTCAAGAATGCTGCCCTTGATTCCCAGAAGAGGGCACTTTGAATCTGCCCACATGGAAAAAGGTTAGGGAAAGTCTTAAAAAATACTACACAGAGCATGGTCTGGAGGAAAGTTGACACTTTCGCTTTGTGGAACTTAGTTCATGTCACTTTAGATCTCGTGCAGAAAGGTTGCCAGCTTGCCAGAAACCTTGATGAATCTCCCAAGGAGTCCACCCCTTTAGTTAGACCAGTATTACTTTTCAGGTTAAAAGGTATGGGACTCCCCCACCTCCACCTGATAATGGGGACTCTGATTGTGAACCCCTCAACCCTGATGAAGAAGCCCAATTGGAGGAAGAGGCCGCTCGTTATGGGCATCATGATGGTTTCTTTTTTTCCCAAAGCTGATGAGGTGGTTCAGGCTAAGATTAAGGAAAACCTTTCAGGTAGTTTCACAGCCTTGAGGCAAGATCTAAAGGAGCTGAAATTAGAAGAACCTCCAACAGCTTCTCCTACACATCTGCCCAAGATCCTGATTTTTCCTTTTGTTTCCCAGTTACTTATACTGATGATGATTATAGTGAATATTCTCCTCTCTCTTTCAAAGAACTCAAAAGTGCTTGCACCACTTATGGGCCCACGGCACACTACACTTTGACCCTTGTGGATTCCTTGGCCTCACATTGGATGACCCCATACGATTGGTTCCTGATAGGCAAGTCTTATCTCTCTGGTGGAGACTATCTCCTATGGAAATCAGATTTTTATGATAGGGCCAGAAGGCAGGCTCTGAAAATCTTAGATCTGCTGTTACTAATATAATAGTAATATAACATAATATAGTAATATAATATATATGATATATGTGATATATCATATATAATATATGGTATATTTAATATATAATACAATAGCAATATAACGTAATATAATAATATAATATGATATATAATATGTGGTATATATAATATAATAGTAACATAATGCTAATATAGTAGTAATATAATAGTAACTGCTGTTACTATTATAGATGGTCAACTGCATAAGAGGATGAGCACTGAGACTTCAGCTCAGAAAACAGAACTAATAGCCCTTATTTTTGCCTTTCAGCAACTAACATATGTATCCCTCAATCTCTATAGGGATTCTCAATATGTAAAACACTTGTTTCCTCATATAAAAACTGCCCCTCTACCATCTGCTGCTATATTTTCTATACTTAATCTTTTATTACAATTGCAGGCCTTGATCCAACAAAGAACCAAACCCTCTTTGTAGGGCTTATCAGAGCTCATAGCTCCCTTCCAGGACCCCTCAGAGAAGGAAATCAATTGGCTGATTCCCTTACATGTCCATTTCCAGGACTGTCCACTGTTCAACAAGCCATTGCTTCACATGCCTTACATCATCAGAATGCAAGATCCGTTAGACAACAATATGGGCTCACTAGGGAGGCTGCTAGAAGAATTGTTTGCAACTGTGGTCATTGTCGAACTCACTCTAATTCTCCTTCTTTTGGTGTTAATCCTAGAGGCCTCAGACCTAATCATCTTAGGCAGATGGACATCACTTATGCTTCCTCTTTTGGGAAGTTGTCTTTTGTTCCTGTGTGTGTTGACACCTTTTCTCATTTTATGGTAGCTTCTGCTCGAACAAGTGAAGCAGTAAAGGATGTTCTTCAACATCTATTTCTAAGCTTTGCCATCATGGGCAAGCCCAAAGCTTTAAAAACAGGCAATGTTCCTGCTTATACTTCTAAAGCATTTGCCACCTTCTGTGATACATGTGAAATTTCTCATTCCACAGGAATACCCTATAACCCTCAAGGGCAGGGCACTGTGGAAAGAGCTCATCAAGCCTTAAAAGCTCAAATATTTAAATTAAAAAAGGGGGAATACACCTATAACACACCACATCAAATTATTAACCATTCACTTTATATTTTGCATTTTTAAAATTTGGACCTGTCAGGCCTCTCTGCAGCCCTTAGACACTGGACAGATTTGTCTCCAATTACTAAACCTTTGGTTAAGTGGAAGGATGTTTTATTAACATGGGGGCAAGGGTATGCTTGTGTCTTCCCTCAGGATGCAGAAACACCTATTTGGATTTCAGAGTGGCTGGCACGACACCATGGATCAACCACGCAGACCACCGACTCCAATGCCCTACCCCCTGCCAAGGGAACCTCTGCCAACACCTCCAGGGACACCACCTTTCCTGTTCCATGCCAAACTGGAATCATTGATCCTGCCTCTGAAGAGGATGCAACTCCAGAGTGATTCCTCCTCACACCGCACTAAATCCCACTACATAACTGCATGTGTTCAATCCCTCTTTGTGCTTTTAATAGATAAAGGCAAAGGGAAGCTTAACATTATCCGGAGTGCTAATGGTACTGGAGAATACATCATGTCATCTGTAAAAGTTGTACTTTAACCAATTGTATTTCCACTCTGCTACTGGATGAAACTGTGTTTATATTACAACAACCTCCTTTTACTCAAATGTCATGCTGAATATCAGTGGATTTGTGTCACTCCCTTAAAATATAATGAAACCTTGTATACTTGGGAAAGAACTCAAATGCATCTTACGGGCGTATGGAATAATAGTGATATTAGTTTAGATCTTTCCCCTTTGCATCAAAAAATACAGGATATTTCTCATTCAGGATCATCTCTCCTCCCCACTTCTGAAGTGGCATCTGATGTGCCACTGATAAAATTAAAACCTTTGTTCAGCATCATAACTTTATGACATTTGTTTACAATGTTGCCATTATTGGAGGAATAGCTGTGATCCTTGTTGTTCTCCTTCCAGTCATCATCCGAGCCCTCTTCCGAGGAATTCGATCTGCACAGATAGATACCAAGACACTCCAATTAAATGTAAAAAAAGGGGAGATGCCCGAGACCTTCCAGTGCCAGTTCCTTGACAAAGTCAGGACTGGCAGCAGGTACCTGCAAAGCAGGGACCGCATAGGATGGGTGTGCAGCCTCTCTCTCTCTCTACTCTCTATTAATCATAGCTTTCCAGATATGCATTGTGCCATTGATAAAGGATGGTTGGGAACCTGAAGGATCAGAACTGAAAGTAGTTAAGGAATCAGAACCCAGGATGAAAGGCACCCCCCTCCAACCCAGGATGGAAAGGGGAAGTAAAAGCCACCACAGAGATTTGCTTCAGTCCCCTACCTCCTGTGTGGCAATGCTCACGCACAAGAATGGGAGGAGAGCGCTGCACGGGTCTTGTGCATGGGAAAACATTAGGTGAACGCCCTGTGTGTGCTGGACTGGCTCTAGATGGAGATATTGCAAATGTGGGTCCTGTTGTCCAGTGGACAAGAGAACAATTCTTTGAAAAATTATACCTAATCAAGAACTCCTAGTGACTGATCTGTTTGCTTCCTTTGTTTATGTGCTTTAGAAAGGTTGATTCCCTGCTAAGATTGTAGT